AGCCTTTAAGACCCCAGACACTATATCTTTTGATAGCCGGGCACCATTAGCTCTCTTCACCACATTTACTTATGCACACATTTGTCTTCAGTGATTGTGTCAGTAAAGCGGGCACCCACTGATAAGATTTTCAGCAAACACATTTTTAAAAGAGTTTTATACAGCAATCTGAGTCCTTTAGTATTTCAAATAGAACAGATTTTAACCATGGAAAAAAAAGATCATGAATCATTGTTAATACAGAGCTAATCTACATTAGCTTAAGTGAGGGTAAAGGAAATGACATGAGATGGATTATTTTATTAATAAAGTTACAGTAGTTATACTATAATTTTGAGATAGCCTAAAATAAATAACTGAAAGAAAGAAATGTCTTTGCTGCTGTACAAAGACAGTACTTTGAAATCATAAATTTGCAAATGTGATATAAGAAGAAAAGACATTTTAAAATTATTTAAATCATAGATTGCTCTTCCTCAAGTAATTTGATATGCATTTCAAATGAATAAGGAATGGCTGGGGAGAAAGGAAAGAGTAAATGAAGATCACTTAGTATTTTATGATTTTACTGAGCAAAAACGAGAATGGGGCAAGTGTGAATTTGTGTAGTTCATTACACAAGCCACATGTGGTTTTTGAGTACTTTAAATGTGGGTAGTCTGAGATTAGCTTGAATGTGTGTCTGTGTTTTAAGTATAAAATGCATGTTGAAAAATGGTGTAGGGGAAAAAGGTAAAATCTGATTGCCGTATGTACTCATGTATAAGCCAAGTTTTTCAGTACATTTTTAATGCAGTTTTTGTGGTAAAATTAGGTCTCTCGGCTGATATTCGGGTTGGCTTATACTTGAGTATGTACAGCAGTAAAAATTTTCCTACTGATTATATGTTGAGATAAAGTTATTTTGGATAAAGTAGATTAAAGTATATAAAGATTAATTTTACTTGTTTTCTTTTTATGCTTTAAATTTAAAATTACATGTTGCTTATGCTTGTGTTTCTATTGGACAGCACCGTTCCAGATTCAGTCTGTGGTGAAAACAGTAACAGCTGAGGAGAGAGGAGATTAAGGGAAGAAATAGATGTGAATTTTGTTATGTCTTTCTGTAGTGTATACTTTATTTTAAAAGAAAAAAATGTTTTGCTATAAAAAGTGATAGAGCAAGAAATAGCTGGAAGGGACTAGCCGGCCCCCCCCCCTCCCTTTCTGGGTGCTTAAGTTATCAAACCTTTAATTATTGCCTTGAAGGAAATAAATATTTGAGTTCCTGGCCACTGTGCTGTTCTAAAGACCTTCCAAAGACCTTCATTACCATTTTTAATTGTTTTACCAGATGTTGCTAAAGTTTTCCTTTCTGTCTCTTGCTTTCTTTTCTTCTCAAGGCCTTTATTTAAGAGCAGAATTGACACTGTTAAAAATTCAAGTTTTGTCAAGGGATTGGAGTGAAAACAGTCAAGTATTTCTGGTCCACAATCCTTCATCAACAATTTTAAAATCTAAACGCTCTGAAAAACCAGTAGTGGTTTTGTTAATTCAAGTGGTTAAAAAAAGAAAGGTGACTTTGAAGTGATTTGAGGGCAGCTGTTGGTTTCCCTTATCCCACTTTGTGGGACTAGTTCTGTGTTTTGCTGTAGTAATACTATGTCCCTGGAAATACAGTGCAGCAGTAGACCTAGGTGAAGGTAATAAGCTGTATATAGTGTACTAACCTTTCTAAACATTTTTTAAGTGAATTCTGAAATACAGTTGACTCAGAGGGCTTCAGATAGGATTTGGGGCCTCTCTTATGTTACAGAAACTGGAAGTATTTGGATGACCACGATCTAAGCACAGGGACACGAGTGAATGAAGTCTTCCTCAACTGCAGCGTCCTTGTGCGCTCTCCCAGAAAGAGCTTTCAGAAGAAGCATCTTGTTCTCTGTGGTTCTCTTGTCCTGGAATATAATCCCCACCAGGCTGCTAGCTGCCTGATGTGATCTCTAGAATCCTTTCCATGTTCTTTCTTCAGTCTTAGTAAGAAACTGTATGCATCATTGATCTGTGCCTTACTGAGGGCTATTCTTTTATTCTGGAAAATCTTTTGTCAACTCATCTGATTCTCCAAGATGGAGTAAGACCGTACACATCCTGAAGTTTTTCCTGATTACCAAAAGACAGAAAGGATATATCTGTGTGGTTTAAAGGTCAAATTACCTCCCCAACTGGATTGTAATCTGGCAAACAAGCAAATGGGATTGTCCTCTAGTTTTCTGCATCCTTCAGAGCAAAAGATTAATGCCAGTTATTGTTATGTAAGAGAAAAAAAAAGACTTTTATGGAAATTATCACTTTCACAGAAATTGTTAGGGGGTGTAATGAGGTTTGTTTATAGGGTCAGTACATTCTACTTTCATGAAACTTAGTTGAAGAAAAAGTACCACAACCTCCAGGTATTTTAGTGATTATAACCTAAGAAGAATGAGAGTTGTTACTGAAAACCCCTTTACATTTTTTATTTAAACAAAAGCAGCAAAAAAACCCCAAACAAATCCAAAAAACAAAACTATTCCAAGTTTAGAGAGTCCTAAAAAAAACATTAATTCTGTTTACAATCTCTGTGACCTTATGTAAATCTCAGGGGGTTTTATATTAAAAAGGAAAAGTTCTCAGGATAAAGAAACATTCATAAACAAAATATGTGACAAAAGAGTGGTGAAGGTATGTTATAATTTAAAAACATGCAAAAATTATGAGACTATATTAATTTAATTTGGTTCAGTCATTCTTATTAAATCCAAAGTTACCAACATATTTAGAAGGACAATAAAAGATTAGATAAATAAAGGTCAATTATTGAATGTTTGAAATGATTTTCATTGAGTCAGCATGTTTTAATTTTGCGAAAGCATTGAAAATAGGAATAGCTGAGATGACTCTTGAAGTTTGATAGAAGTGTCGGGGTGAGGGGGTCCGCGAACAGATCCTTAGGAGCATCCTTGTGATTGTGGGAAATATTAAAGACAGACAAAGTGAGGCACAGGTGCTCCTCATCCCATGTCAGGACTGAGACAGAGAGAATATATTTTCCAGTGAGTCCATGTAATGGAGCTTACAGATCTTTCATAAGGCAAGCATGTCATACAGCATAGTTATAAAGTTGATGGGTGATATCATAAATGAATAACACAATAGACAAGCAGTGAAGTGAGGCATCGTCTTGACCTTGAAC